CGATCAGGCCGGCAAGGGGGAGCAGTTCGGGGGTGATCAGGCTGGCAGGCAGAGGCAGTTAGGGGTGAACAGCTCAGTAGGCAGAAGCGGTTAGGGGCGATCAGGCAGGCAGGGGAGCAGTGAGGGGGCGAACAGGCAGGCAGGCAGGCAGGGGAGCGGTTAGGAGCCAATGGTCCCGGATTGCGAGAGGGATGTCTGACTGCCGGTTTAGGCCCGATCCTGCAGGAATTGGGCCTAAATTGGCAGTTGGACATCCCCCGAGGGGTCCTGGATGAGAGAGAGTACAGATTGGGCTGAGGGACCCCCTCCCCCCCCCCCCCGCACGAATTTCGTGCACCGGGCCGCTAGTCTATATAATAAAAGCCCAGCTACCGTTATGGCGGAATGACCAGAATGACCAGTCACTATGATGCACACTTACCACCAGGGGGCAGACACTCAACGTAGGAGCTGCCCACTGGTGGTCAGTGTGTTCCCATAGCGGGCATGCCGCTCAGCCAGAAGCCGGGCTCACTGCTGGCAAGTGCAGCAGCGGTGGTGGGAGCCTCTCCCACCTCCATGGCAACTCTTAAGGAGCGGCGAGCCAAGTGGTAAGGAGCAAGCAGGCGGGCGGTAAGGAGCGGCAAGCCAAGTGGTAAGGAGCGAGCAGGTGGGTGGTTAGGAGCGAGGAGTCCCGGATTGCGAGTGGGATGTCTGACTGCCGGTTTAGGCCCGATTGTGCCTAAACTGGCAGGTGGACATCCCCCGAGGTGTCTCGGATTGCAACAGGGCACAGGCCAGGCTGAGGGACCCCCTCCTCCTGCACAGATTTCATGCATCGGGCCTCTAGTATACATATAAGTTCTTTGGTTAATCTCTTCCCACTCCCTCTCCCCACTTCCCTATGAGTTTTGTCAGTCAATCTTTTCCATGTTTCTATACCTCTGATTCTATTTTATGCATCAGTTTATTTTGTTCATTAGATTCCTTGTTCATTTATTTTGATTTTTAGATTCAATTGTTGATAGATACGTATTTATTGCCATTTTTGTGTTCATATTTTTTATCTTTTTTTTCTCCTCCTTCTCCTGCACCTATTTATCTGTCCTGCATACCTTCTTCTGATTATTCTTGATTGCTAGTTTCATTATCTTATTTTTCCCCCTTAAATATTTCTTTTCTCTGTGTTGCTTACTTAGAGGATCCTGTTTAAATTCAAAGACTTGCATTCAGAGACTTCATTCCTAATCTGTTTTATCCTTGCCTTCTTCAGCTCCTCTTCAGAAGCTACGATGGTGATTGTCTGGACAAACACCATGAGTGTTAGTTGTGTAGGAAATATCTGGCATATGTCGTGGGTCAGATAAATTAATTACTTCAGAGACAAAATTGGCTAGTAAGAATAGGTAGATATCATAGCTCTTGTAGGTTTAGCAGTAGAAAAGTTCAGAGTAAAGGTATCTAAGAAAGATTGCACCATTTTTGAAAGAATGCATTATTGGAGTTCAGAATTAGAAAGTAAGTTACAATGAAAGCAAGAAATATTCAGTGTACCCTTACAATTTTGGCTTTGCCTTGTAATTGATTCATGCATATATAAAAGAACAGACATCAGAATAATAAATGAATATTTCTTCATTTAGCAAATACCTTTGCACAATTGCTCAATGTGTAATCTTTCCTTTTGGATTTTGTTTATTTTAATTTCTGATAATTTGTATTCTCATTTAATTGTGAACATGGCCACAATAAATGGGAATAACTTACCAAGCAAAGTTTTATTAGTGTTTGATCATCCTATACAATAAAAGCCTAATATTCAAATCGACTGAACAGCGGAACGACTGGTCGCTATGATGTATACTGACCACCAGGGGGCAGGCACTCAATGCAGGAGCTGCCCCCAGCCTGCAGGTCCCAGGCCAGCCATGGCGGGTGCCAGCAGGGTCCCCCCAATCGCCCCGCCAGTTGCCCCACAGATCAGCCCTGATCGCCAGCCAGGCCTAGGAACCCTACACGTGCATGAATTTCATGCACCGAGCCTCTAGTTTTCTAATAAAACTGTTAACTCTCAGTAAAGACAGTATCAGAAAGAATCATATATATGCAAGAAACAATAATCATAGGTATGAAAGTATATGAAAATTTGCATCTATGATATACTGTTTTGTAATCTAATATATTCAGAGTTGTTATTTTCTTACGTTATGATATATCCATTGTATGGTAATGTTAATTTTTGTTAAAGTAGTGAATTTGAACAACTGTAAACCTACAGTTGCCCTACCCTGTATGTGTAATAACTACCTTTCAGAGTTACTCTCAGGATTAAGTACAATTATGTATTTAAGACAGTGTCTGATACTTAGTAGATATTCAGTAAGTAGTTCTTATATTAAGAAAATACATCATCTTAGTAGAAATAAAAGACTCTATTACTATTAATGTCATAAAAAAGTACAGTTTTGTCTGGAATAATGCCATACATAGAGTAAGAATAAAACTTTTCTTGACCGTCAGTGTAACTGATTTCTGGATTTTACAGACACTTTTCATTCTCTGAATAAAATGTTGATTGATGCCCATAACATACTGAAGTTTTAAGAATGGTAGGCTATTTCCCAGGAGACCCATATTAGTACAGTTGTTTGCTTATTCTTTATTTACCAATGATTAGTTTTGTGTATTTCCAAATCTGTTTGTGTTTAGTATATTTGATATAACCAAGTAATTCACTTTAATAGTATATAAGTTGATGAAATATGAATGTAAAATGAGAGAGAGTTTCAATATATAAAAATCTCCAATGAATACATTGGAAAAAACTTCACGAAAGTCAGTCACCTAAAATTTCCTGTCTGATGCTATGTGGATAAAATAACAGTAGACAGCTGGAAAAGAAATAATAAGACTACATGAATGCTATACTTAGATTGTATTGCCAATATCTTTAAAGTTCCATTTAAAAAATTAAATACAAATCTTATACCAGGTTAGTAATAGTTATGTTTTTTATTCAGGAAAACCAGTTCTGGCCTGGCCTGCATGGCTCAGTGGTTGAGCATTGACCTATGACCCAAAAGGTCATGATTCGATTCCCAGTCAGGGCACATGTCCAGGTTGCAGGCTTGATCCCCAGTGTTTGGCATGCAGGAGGCAGCTGATCGATGATTCTCTCTTATCATTGATGTTTCTCCCCCCGACCCCTTCCTCTCCTTTTCTCCCTCTCTCCTCCTTCCTTTCTGAAATCAATACAAAATATATTAAAAACACACACACACAAAACCCCCAGTTCTGAACTCTAGTTTATTAACTAAGACACACTTAAAGAAAATGTCTTTAGCTAATATAAGATTACGTTTTATGTAAAAATAATATGTAAGGTAAGTAGAATTTTTATGATTCTCCACAGTGGCTCACATTTTTTATGAACTTAGTTATCAATCCTGATCTGGTCATATAAGAGAAGCTTTACACCTATTCATATAAAATGGGTATTAAAGAGTGTGGTAATTGGTACCAGAAAGAATAATTTATCTGGGAAGATTTGAATTAGACTCACTATACTGACCAAAAGGGCAAGGTCTTTGCTGTCATCTGAGAAAAGAAATGGATGAACAGAGATGAAGAGATTTCTTTCCTTGGCCTACTAGGTACCACCAAGTAGGTAGCACTTTGTAGACTAGTTTTCTGTAGTCGCGTTTGGGCAATTGGTATAGCAAAAATACTACTGTTGATGATGACAGTAATAATTTCAAGGTGTTAAAGAGTAGGGTACTATTGGCTAAACAGGCTCAATTAGTCTATTTATAAAATAATGAAAGTTAATTGTTAGTAATAAAATGCAGAAAAGTCCATTGAATGTAAATATTACCTAGAAATATTTTTAGAAGTCAAAAGTAAAAAATGGATAGAAAATGGGAATTCTTGCACTTATTTCTAATTAAGAAGAACTCTAGGTCATGTGTCAATGGAATGTATAAGTAGTCTATACACCTGAATGTGAATTTGTATAAAGAAGCTGTAATTTTATTAAATCCTATCATTTTACTTTTAGATTTGCCTTTTTATGTCCTATTAATATTTACTTAGTAGTAAAAAATAGATTAGTATAGCAGCATATTAAAATGTCTACCTTCTTATTGCAAGGTTATGAAGGTTAAAAGCATAAAACAATGTCTGGCATGTAGTACATTCTGTAAGTGTTTGGGATTTTTGTTTTGTTCTTTACACAGCATACCTTATTAATGAAGAGTGTAGACTGGAGCCAGAGTACTTATTCAGATTCCACCTCTGCTACTTTCTAGTTGTGTGACTTGGGGCAAGTTACTTAATTTCTCTATGCTTCAGTTTCTTATATGTTTATATGGGGTGAGACTATATATAAAGTATATAACGTGTTTAATATAATGCCTGACACAAAAATGCTCTGTGTTTGCAGTTATTATATGCAAACTCATAGAAGTTTGCATTTTAATCTATATTCAGGCCTGTTGTAAAAATTGATACATTTATTAATGATATAATGTCATGGCACAATTACAAATATAGTTATGTGGTTCTTCATTATATTTTTAGTGTAAACTATTTTAAAATGACATTACAGGAATGAACAATGCCTGTAAAAAATTATTTACGAACAATATTCCAAAATGACATTTGTCTGCTTTTCAGATTTGTTTGCTAGCTTAGGCAAAATTGGAAGCTCTACCTTTATTCTTCTTTTTAAGTGAAAGAAAAAACTTGGGCCAGAGGAAAGTATATATTGTCTTGGTTCTGTATATTGCTGTGTTTTATTAGTACTGTTATTTCTTTTAGACCTGTAATCATTGAGCATTCTGATTTTTAGCAGAAACTACCTGATTAGGTTGCATAGTAAACCTAACACTAAATCTCGACCTCAGTAACTAGCGTGTATTGAATATCAGGTCATTGGAATATTTATGAGTCTATTATATAATTTGCTAATTTCTATAAAAAGCCCACACACAGCATAAACTCCTTAATGGAATTAATGACAGCTTTGGTCGTCCAGGAGTAGAATGTTATTGCCAGCATGACAGTGGAGCTGCAGTCATCCAGCTCCAGTTCCTGATTAATGAGGTTAGTGAGTTGCTTTAATCTCTCCTACTTATGTACAAAATAGGGCCACATCTCGTCTTTCAGATTTCTTCATTGATATTGACATATGTGAACAAAACTAATTTCTTATAGGTTAGAGATAATAGCAATTCACTGTAAGACAGGGGTGGGGAACCTTTTTTCTCCCAAGGGCCATTTGGATATGTATAACATCATTCACATGCCATACAAAATTACCAACTTAAAAATTAGCCTGCTGTATTTGGTCAAACATTTAATTAACTCACCCTAACGCTTTGGGAGGGCGAGACCAAATGATTTCATGGGCCTTAATACGGCCTATAGGCCGGACGTCCTCCACTCCTGTGTTAAGGCATCTTTGTGGATAGTTACATAAATAATGTAAGATGTTTCTCAAAACAGTGTTGCAAATAGAATGGTATAAAGTAAATCATTTTGGTACAGGGTGCTGCATTTAAATTTTATTTTAGTGATATTGAAAGTTATAGAACATATAAAAATCTATATTGAAATATTTTTTAAAGATGGTAGCTTATTATAAATAACAAAATGTACTTCTTGAATGAGTTGTTTTACAATACAACCAGGAAACCAAAATACATTAGAAACTGGTTATTGTCCAAAGTTCTTGTGTCACTTATTGGTTGAAGTAATTGGTGATATCTTTCTTTTTGATAAACTTTGAAGTTTAGAAGGAGCTAGAGAAACCAAACCCCATTTTATCAGCAGAGTAAACAATGTGTTTGCAGGTTTTAATGTTTGCTGGACTCTGAGAATAGATGTTTTTTGGAAGTAGGGACAGGCAGAAAAAGCTGGTCATAAGAGGACGAAAGAGAAATTACTCCAGAAGGCTCTGCTATCTTTAGATAGAAGGATAATTTGTGAACATTATTTTTGCCCCTAAATTCTTAAATGTGTATGAAAGAAAAAAATTACTCAGTACCTCTGGCTTTTGATAAATGTTTTTGTTCATATCAGAGGATTTAAAAAGGCACGATGGGTGCAAAGATCTAAAGGTGACAATAGAAAACAGCAAAATTATGATCCAAATAATATGCAAATGTGTAGGTTTTTCAGGGTCAAAGGAAGCATGTTTTTGCTTGTTTGTCTTAAACTTCAGGGTTCTGCATAGATCAGCATTATAAAGTGTTTTAAATAATCACAATATAGAAAGTTGTCGAACCCATATTCTTTTTGAGGACCCAGATTACTTTTTCTTTTTAAAAATTTTCTTATCTATAATAATAGTATAATATGCTAATTAGACCGGATGTCCTTCCAGACAACCTTCGGACGAAGCTGGGTCTGCAAGGGAAGCCTGGGTCCTGGGTGCCAGAGGGAAGCTGGTGCCGGCAGCCGGGGTTGGGGGCGGGGGGGAAGGAAGGCCTACTCTTGCATGGATTTCGTGCATCGGGCCTCTAGTTTTGAAATAATTAGACTGGTTTTGATTCAAAATAGAGAGGCTCTGTGCACCTCCCAGCTTCCCCCATAGTAACGTTTTATATAACAGTAGTATAATATGAAGCCAAAAAGTGACATAAGAACAGTACTATTGAGATTACAGAAGACCTTTAGATTTCATCACCAGCTTATCCATGCACTTGGGGTGTGTGTGTGTGTGTGTGTGTGTGTGTGTGTGTGTGTGTGGTTTCCTGCAGTTTTAACACACAAATAGACTCATGTAATGACCACTATTGACAAGATACAGATCATTTCCACCACTGTAAAGGAATGTCCTCAGGTTCCTCCTTTATAATCACACTCCCTCCCCTCCTGCTCTCAGTCCCTGATTCCTGACAACTTCTCACCTATTTTCCACCTTTACACTTGTGTTAAGATTATTTGATTATTTTTTAAAGCAGTACGTGAGCCAATCTAAATAACATTGCAAATTGATTACCTATACACATAAATTTTAGAAATCTTAAGTAGTTTATGCCATCATTATTCATATTAAAAGATTCTTTTCTCATCAATAGGATTTATCACAGTTCTGTGATATGACTATTTTGTTTTAGTTTACATGCTTAAATGCTATCTTTAAGTACTTAAAATTACATTGTTTTAAAAAATGCTTAGTAAAACATGAATATTTAATGAGTATGGCTATGGAAATCTGACAATTGGGAGTAGCTATTTGCTTTCAGTTTGAAAAAATTATAGATAAAGGAGCCACAATAGGAGGAGGTCAGCTGTTATTGCCATTTTGACTCTACATCTTCCCTTCTTCCTTGAGATTTTAAGATGGGACTAACATCTTGAGAAAGAAGATGACATAGTCTTAAACTACAGTGGAAATAAGAATGAAGAATACAAATATTTGATACTTTGCATCCTTTGAGTTTTTCTGCTTCATAGTGATTTAGATAAGGGAATGCTTTCTGGTGAAAGTGAGAGTATGTGGACTTTATGTATTTCTGCTTTCCAATAGTCATTGTAGCACTAGGAGTTACACAACTGAGTAGCCCTCTTAAATTCCAAATGTGTAAAAGGATTTGGAGAGATCACTTAATGTAAAGTTTGTCTTCAGAGCTATTTTAATTTTCTTAGATAAATGAGAAACTCTTCTTATTTTAAGAAGGAGATTTTAAGATTTCTCATAATAATCTGAAGGATTGGAATTACAAATCTTTTTTGAAATTAATATAAATTCTTCATGTTGCATCTTTTGCCTTATTCTCTCAATGTAGAAGAGTATCTTACTCTTTTGAGAAAAAACATGTCTTAATTAATCAGTCTTAGTCTAGAGACTTAAGTCTATTCACACATCAGAATCACTTCTGGAAATTTTTAAGAAAACTACACCTGCATAGGTACTTGTTCTAAAAATTCTGATTTGTCAGATCTGGGATGAGACTGAGTGCCCTGCATGATCTTCATATAATGCCATCGAATTTTTTCTCCATACTTAATAGTATTTAATAGTACCAGATGTTTCAACTTTCTAAATTAGTTTGTTTTTTTCAACCCTTTTGACATTGAAATTACAGTGTGCTGAATGCAATCTTTATTTTCCTTATTCTAGTAGTACAATTATGATCTAGGCATAGCACATTTATAGGATTTGTCTTAAGCCAAATAAAACTGGAAGGTTACCTCATATCATATTTTGCTCTTTTAGTTAAGGAGATATGTATAGTAGTGACCAAGTAACTTATATATAGTCTGGCCTCTAATTTTACATAGCTAGTAATGAACCATAATATCCAAGTAGATCCTATTATACTTTTAGTTTAAGATAATAAGTTATACTTTATTGAAGAAGTTGAAACTTCTTTTACACATATTGTGTGCATAAGTACACAACACACAGTTTTGCATCTGTTGTTTAGAATTTGGGTGAGGCAAATGTTTGTCAGAACTAAATCTATTTGCAGAAAGTTTAGAAATTTGGGAAGGATATTTTTTGGCAGCTCTTTAGTACCTTTAATATTTGTAAATTGTGTTCTATATAAAATATATTACACTTTATTTTTAAGGGAGCTCTTGTGAGTGCCTTGGCTGATGATACCTTACATTTATGGAATTTACGTCAAAAGAGACCTGCCATACTCCATTCACTTAAATTTTGTAGAGAAAGGTAAGAATCTCTGTTTTCCTTTATATAGGATATTTGCTATTTTCTTTGAATTTTATTCTTTGATTTTATTTTTCTGTGATGGACTTTACGCACAATCTAAAAAATAATTAAAAACTTCAGAGGATATCCAGTGAAAACAAGTTTTTTTTTTCCCCTTTTCAGACCCATCTTCCTCTCCAGAGGCAACCACACACATTTCTTTTGGGTCCTTTTAGAAATACTGGCAGTCTGTTTATATAAGCTGAGATCTCTGTGCAGCTTCTGTTTTTGCATAAGAGGGAAGACATTGTATATTCTTCCTGTAACTTTATCTGATAGATTGTTTCATATTGTCACCTTTAAATCTCCCTTAGTCATTTCGTAACTGCATGATACTCCATTGTATGGAAGTACCATAAATTATTCAATCTTTGTTATTAGTGGATTTATATCATTTTCTGTCTGCTATTCATTTTGCTGTGTTGTAATATTGTTACATGTAAGTATTTATCCACATATATGAATATATCTATGAGATACGTGTAGAGTGGAACAACTTGATCACAGAAATCTCTCATATGACTTGTGTGTTTGTGCTTTGACTAGAATGTAGCTTATTATGCCAATTGCCAGATTTATCTCTCTCTCTTTTTTTTTTTTAGGTTTATCTCTTATTGGGGATTTATTTGTTATACAATTTAAACCATAAGAAATAATTTGCCAGTAGTAGTAGCTACATCATCTCAATCCTCTGCAACCTTGGAGGCATGGCTTTTACTGCCCCATCCCCTGTTATAGATTGAATTGTGTCTCCCAAAAGATGTATTGAATTCTGAACCTCCAGTACTTGTGAATCGAATCTTACTTGGAAATAGCGTCTTTGTGGGTATAAGCAAGTTAATATGAAGTTATTAAGGTGGGCCTTATCTAATATGAGTGGTGGCCTTATAAGAAGAGGAGAAGAGAGACAGACACACAGGGAGAACACTGCAGCATGACAGGGATAGGATTGAAGTGATGCATCTACAAGCCAAGGCAATACCAGAAGCTAGGAGAGAAGCATGGAACACATTCTCTCTCAGCCTTCAAAGCAAGCAGGCCTGCTGACATCTTGATTTCTGGTGGCTAGCCTCTGGAACTCGAAGAGAACAAATTTCTATTGTTTTAAGCCACTTAATTTGTGGTAATTTGATATAGCATCCCTAGGAAACTAATATGATCTCCTTCCTTTTTGCTTGATATTGGGGAACCTTGTTATTATGCACTTTGGGTTTATATTTGTAAAGAAGAGGTTGTTTGTTTATGTCGAAATTTAGAGTTTGGCAAGCAAATTCTTTCTGGTAATTGCCTTATTAGATCATGTTTCATTTGGCTACTACTTTATTTTTCCCTTTAAAGGAAGTTTATTTGGGAGGAAGTCATGGGTTTATAAGCAACTACAACTATCTGCTAGTCTTTTTTTCATTACCTTGAGTTAGAATGTTAAATTTTTGCATAACAGTTTTTAAATAACAATGTATGAAGCATTTGAAGGCTGAAGACTTTATTATATATGTGGGCTTTATCATTTAAATCTCACTACTATTCTCTAATAATTATATCTCTTAATTATGTAATTCCTTATTGATTATAAAGCACTTTCACATAAATTATTTATTCTCAGAGGGCCAGAAAAATTTCTTTGTGCAATTTCAGAGAATATAATTTTTTCACCATAAATATTTTAGACATCTTAACATCTGAGTCTATATTGAAATTAATATACTCATTTTAAAGATAAATATTTTTCCTTTATTCTAACCCTGATTTACAGTTCATTTATAGTACTCTGATTCACAGCTCTTTTTATTTGATAATAGATATAACTATTTTATTATATAATAAAATGAGCATGCAAGCACCGTGTACTTATGATTAGGAAAATACAGTATTACATGGAATACATTAGTAATCAAAATTACATCCTAATTAATGAAGCATTAATGTCCAAAGTCCTCTTAAGAACAAAACTGTTTGGCAAGTAGAGCACTTCATTCAGATACTTACACAGCAGTGGGAGAGTTGGTGCCTACTAGTATAAGGCACTTCAGGAACTGACTGCTTCCCTGGCATCAGATTTTCTAAGCATAAATAAGTTAATGTAGGAACAGAAACTAATTTATTCCATTATACTCTCATTATAATACTACCTAAATATTGTACTTTGCATATGTATGAAGCTTATAATTTGCACAGTGCACATGAATAGAGCATAGCTGTAAAAGAGTATTTGGCTAGATACCAACCCTTAGAAAATGTATACAGGTCTTCCCAAGATTTTGAATTAATTCACTGCACATACTTCTGTGCAAGAAAAAAATTAATCATAATATTGAAACAAATCAAAGACCTAGAATTACAGTTTTTGTGCTAATTGAGTCACATCAGCAAAATATTTTTCCTTGAAAGCAGCGTAATGAAAAGTGTACAAGCATTAGACATGAGAGCAATTTGGTGGGATGAGATTCAAGTCTGGAGCACAGGAATGGAATGGTTTCCAGGCCTGATAGGAAGGTAGATAGAGGGATCTATTTCTCTGGACCTAATTCTAATCTACAAAGATAATTTGTTGGTGATATGGAAATGATGAGTCACCTTGGGAATTCTAGGTATAGAGAACCATGCACTGAGACAAAATTTAGGAAGAAAAAAAATCTGTGTTTGAGGAAAGATAATTGTGATTTGATGACCTTGATTCTGTAAAAGGAAAGATGGTTAGGAAATGTTTAATAACTTCCTAGAAAAAAAATTATATATAACAACTAAGCAATTCTGGCAAGGAAATTGGGAGAGACATTGAAAGAGATTGGTCTGGTTGCACAAGGGCCTTAAAATGTACTCGGGTATAAAAGGGTTATATGGAAGGAGGGGTTATATAATCAAAAATGAATATAAGGGCAATTTAGCTCTGCCTATCAACAGGAGCTAAGTCTCGTGAAAAACACTAAAGACAAAGTAATGAATGGAAACACTTTGTTTGGGGTAGGAAAACTAAGTAGGTTAATTTTAAATAGAGGTAGGGCATACAGGGGTGGACAGAAGTAAGTTTAGAATTGTAATACAAATAAATCATATAATAATTAATGATAATACAAGAATAAACTGTTGCATGTACACACAACTGTAAGCCTACTTTTGCCCACTCCTGTATTTTGTTCCTGTAAGTATTAATGCAATGCTGGCTCAGGCAAATTATGTCTTAGACTGCTGAAAGGACTATAAAATCATTGGTTGGCTTAGGAGGAATATAGAATGGAAGCAGTGCTTCACATTTGGAAATGAAAAAAAATTTAGAAGGTAAATTAAGTTCAGTTCACCAAATATGAGATACCTTCTGTGTACCAGGGATTATGATAGGGGTTGAGATAACAAAGATGAATAAAATGCTTGAATAATTTATGTTAAAGCAAAGACCCAGACATATAGTAACTATAAAAAATATGGATGGATGCCATTTTAGAAATTTATGTTAAAAACACATGATAGAATAATTAACCCCATCTTTTTCACCTTTTTATTTTTTAATATCCTTGCTTCTTTAAAAAGAAGACAATAGTCATCAGGAAAATGCAAACTACTAGATACACTAACATCCATCAGAATGGCAAAAATGTTGGCTTGAATGTGACACCACTGTAACTTTTCATAACCTACTAGTGGAAGTTTTAAGCATTACAATCACTTTGGAAAAATTTTTGGTAGCGTTTACATATATCATTATAATTCAACACATCTATTCCTAACTATGTATGTGTGGTAGGCAGAATTCTAAAATGGGTCCCAAAATTTCTGCTTCTGGTTATTCAAACAAACACTAGTCTAAAGACATTTTGTAGATTAATTGAGGTCCGTATTAGTTGACTTTAAGATTAGGAGATTGTCCTTAGTGGGCATGACTTAATCAATTAAAAGGTCCTGCTCTCTTCATGACAAAGATTCAGAGCATGGGAGGGATTCATAGCAAGGGAAATTCAGTCTTACAATCTCAAGAAACTGAATTTGATTAGAAGCCTGGATAAGTTTGAGAGCTGTTCTTCCCCAGATCTTCAAGGCTGGTTAATAACCTGGATTTCAGCCTTTTAAGACCCTGAGTAGAAAACCCAGTCATGCAGTGCTTGAACTTCTGACCTACAGAAACTGAGATTGAAAAGGGGGTGGTGTCCTAAGCTATTAAGTTAGTGGTAATTTGTTACTCAGCAGTAAAAATCTTATACAGATTTTGGTACCCAGAAGTGGGATGCTGCTGTATGGAATAACTGAATGTGGAAATCTCTGCAACCAGGTCATGGCTGGAGGTTGGAAGAATTTTTGAGGAGCATTACAGAAAAGCCTAAATTGCCCTAAATTTGAACAAGTGTTTGTAGGACACTTGACATGGAGATTGCTGCCAGTGAGAGCTCAAAGGGAGAAAGGAACATGTTTTTGGAAACTGGAGGAATTGGTTCCTTGTTATGTAGTGGCAGAAAGTTTATCAGAAACATTTCCTGCGCAATATGTAAGTGATTAACATATTGAGATTTCCAAGGAGAGGGTTGAAGGTACAATCTGAATTTTTTTTTACTTTATAATAAAACTAGAGGCCCGGTGCACGAAATTCATGCACGGGGCGGGGGGAGGGGTGGTTGTCCTCAGCCCGGCCTGCACCTTTTCCAATCTGGGACCCCTTGGGGGATATCCGTCTGTCGGTTTAGGCCCGATCCCACAATCCGGGACTACTAGCTCCTAGCTGCTCGCCTGCCTGCCTGCCTGATCACCCCTAACTGCTTCTGCCTGCCAGTCTGATTGCCCCCTAACCGCTCCCCTGCCGGCCCGATCACCCCAAACTGCCCTCCCCTGCCAGCCTGGTTGCACCCAACTGCCCTCCCCTGCAGGCCTGATTGCCCCTAACTGCCCTCCCCTTCAGGCCTGGTCGCCCACAAGTGCCCTCCCCTGCTGGCCTGTTTGCCCCCAACTGCCCTCCCCTGCCGGCCTGATCGCCCACA